AATTGCATAAATTATGTAGAAACAGGCTGTATTCTCCTGTAATTATAAACTAAAACTTCATTACTGTATGGCATTACAGGAGGATTTGGTGCATATCATGGGTTCAGCTTCGAATTAGGGGCTCAGCTTTCAATTATCAATGGTTTACATTATATCTATAGTACAGTGTCTGGTTATGGTTCTGAAGAGTCAAGAGTGAAGTAATCAAGCTATATACCCAAGTTTGAACCGCATTCACAGTATACCTAGATCATTTGACCTGAGTTCTTGAAGACAAAGTGATAGAAGAAGACTATGATTTGAATGATATAGAAATAAGGGGATTTGAACTGTCTTTATGGTTTTCTTGAAAAACAGTACTTCTACTGATAAAGGTACACATACTTTACAGTTTCTGCAAATATATATCTATGACTTTACATGCTGTTTTATTGATGACCTCTACTGATCACCCACCACGTCAATATCATTGAATATTACCTGTAATTTGTGGGTGACCACACCTACTGTTCACTTTTGTATGACTATCTCTTTACAATTCATTATGTTGATAGAGTATTGAGTGAAAAGTCTACAGGGTGATGGAACAGCTGTAAAAAACAGAGATGAATCATCAATTTTATCCAGCCAAAAGAGGAAAGGCGTCAAGAAATTATGCATATGCAGGTTCATGCGGATCAGTGGAGGTTGAACCTCAACGAACCTCTGGAGGTTAATGGGCGGTTGGAGGTTAGGAAGGTTGGAACCTCACCTCAAGAGGTGAGGTTCGAGGTTCCGGGGTAGGGACCCATGCAGAGGTTCAAAGCCAGGTCTAAACTACCCTGGCTTCCAGGGGGGGTTGGCGTACGAAGCTGAATATTGAGCTTTGAAAGCACCCGATCAGGATCCAAAGGCACTAAGCCAGCTGCTGTGAAGCTATTTTTGATAGTATCAGGTTTGAAAGCTTCAATTCATGCATGTGGGTAGGCCTCAAGGAAGTCTAGTCTAATTTGTCAATATGATTGATCCCAAGACGCATTTTGGTTTCAACAGGCTGACTGTATGATCGCTTTAACACTGCAAAACAGCCAATATCAAGTGGCTGTAAAAGATGGGATGAATGTGCAGGCATATAAATTGGGATGATATCATTTTGACTGCAAATTTCATCAAATTTTGGGGTCAAATGACTACCATGGCCGTCAAGGATTAAAAGTTGATATTTCCCTTTTGTGCGAGTAATTGTTGATGGAATAAAGAGCTTTTGAAGCCAC